TTCAGAAGTTACCAATAATTTTTCAAAGCGTCACCGATTTGAAGGTAAGTGTAATTTTTTTGAGGCAGCAAGAGCTCGCTGGCAGGCCCCCCCCTCCACTATAACTAGCCCTTTGCTTTATAAACAGGTAACATTCCCTTCCAATATCATTTGAAAAAAATCTCAAGTTTTTAAATTCTATAAGAGATTTTGAAAATATAGAGTTTACGGTATCAATTGCCGCTAAATTATAAGTAATATAAATATTTTTTATATATTATGAAATTTGTATTAAATATTATAAATATTTAAAATTATAAATAAATTTTTCTTTTAAATATTATAAATAAAAGTTTTTAAATATTGTAAATAAAAGGGCAACGAATTTTTGGAAAAAAAAGTCGTATCTCGCATCCTATTGGACATAAACAAACTTTTTTTTCAAATCTGCGCCTTGAAATTAGTGTTAAGAATTCTTTTATTATAAATTTGTAAAATGAATTGGGTCGTCGCAAATTGAATTAATTATAAGCAAAAAAGAGCCTTTTTGCTTTAAATGGTTTTTTATGTCATTAAAAAACGTAGTAAAAAACGTAGTAAAAAGTAGTGATCTCGTGCTTAGTGTATCTCGGGATAAACTAATCGCAATAGCTCAGGAATTAATAAATAATTTCGAATTTTTCAATACGTCGATTTCTTAAAATGGTACAAGCTACATCTTGCAAGCCAAAACAGTTAAAAAAAGTGAAAATTACAATAAATAATTAATATCTTAATAATAGCCATTTTAGTCGCTTTTTCGCTCTTTATGCAATACCAATAAACGAAATTAACCATGTGACGGTTCAAATTATAGGTTTTTATCGTATCTACAACTTTCACGATATGCTTTTTTCTCTAAAATGCATTCCTACGCTTACAGAACGAAAAATCATTATTTTGTCAACTTTGCACCATCCTGATTTCTTGAGCATCGTTTTTTTAGTAACAAACTATATAGCACTACTTGTCATATCATCCTCAACAAAAAACAGCGGTCCCATCGATTCTGAACTTTTTGTCACGTTTTAGCTCTCTTGATTGGCCTACAAAGTGATTTTGAATTATTAGAGCGGCGTTGGAAGGATACTATTGCTCTTGATAAAAATCATACTGATGAGTAAAGCCAATTTGTACCGAAAAAAAACGTACGTTCTTCGTTAGGCCCAAACTTTTCAAATCATGAGTTAGTTCTTTCTCCGATCTTACCTGTGTTCGACAAGAAGAAACTTCAAGCTACAATGTATTTATCTAAAATCATGCTGCTTTTTTTAGAGGCACGTAAAATCAAAATTTTTATGAGAGATCTAGTATATACTACATCATTGAAACCACCACATGACGGTTTTGAACCAACGTATCACGAGATTATTACTTCGAACACTGAATCTGCTGTTGCCTCGACATCGTGTAAGGTCTACTTCAAGCAGTAAGTCGTCGTCTGTCATTCGTGCTGGATTATCGCAAAAAACACAATTGTTTGTTGGAGTGAAATAAATAGTGCTTTCAAGGAATCAAGACTGGTCTGATAACGAATGTGAAACATTTAGGTCTACGTTTCTAGAGTAAGTTTTTCACACTCAAATTAGTATAACTTTGAAGAGACATCATTCCATAATATGAATACCGTCTTGAATGGTGAATATACAATCGGGAAAAATAAAGAAGAGATAAGGTACGTCGCCTACTATGACACATTACTATAATTGAGTCCCACTCTGAAGCACGCTTACAATATTTCATTTTATAAAAAATTTAAATTAAATTGGTAAAATAAAATAATACGCTCGTTAACGTGACGATAATATTAACCTAATGATAACATAATGTGTAACGGGGGAGGTCATCTAACAAAATGGAAAATTTATTTAAGCACAAAGTTCCACGATGCAGAGCTAACCACCGCTCCGTTAAATACGTATAATCGCACGTGTATTCGCCTTTACGTCAGTTGATTTCGTTTTGGTGTCTTCTTTCCAACTGAGTTGAATTCACCTTAAGTCACTTGACTTGTAACACTCGATGTATCTTAGGTGTAAATGGCTTTATGCCTAATACGCTGAATCCCCTAGATGAAATCGGATTAAAACCTAAGCCTTTATAAATCGCTTAAGCTAATAGGAAATGAAATGACGTAATCGGCGAATAAAATTACGTAACTTTAATTAATAAAAACTACAGTCTTTTATGGGCCGAAAGACTAACGCACGCGAATAGGATTTACAATGAATTATTAATATTCGGTGAGAGAGAGAGAGAGAAGATTCGAAAATTACCGCGAACCTAACGCTCGGCGCGAATACAAAAAGATTCGATATCGCGGTTGACAAAATACTTTGAATGTATTTTGTCACGCAATAATAAAGAGAGGTGCACCTACCCTGCGGTACAATTACGGTGATCAGCCGTAATTGTTGATGAAAAAATCAACTGCCGATACTCCTCCAATAAATCAGCTGCGCTGCCTCACTCTGCCTCCAATCTGCTGCAATTTACTGCTTCTCTACCGCTGCTTCTTATTGCCGCGAAAACGCCGTTGCACTCACGCACGTAAAATCGTCCCAGAAAAACTTTATAAAACGGCGGAACACAGTGCAAAATAATTTGGCGGCATTGTCGCGAAAACAGCTGAGGCGTAATTGCCTATTTCAAATGCTCGCGCGCCCCCTCTCTCTCTTTTAATCGTTCGAACTAACGCGCGAGTAACAGAATCGCAAACGGATCGATTAATTGAATATACTACCGTTGCAAATGATATTATAAATAAATGATCTCTTATACAATCAAAAAGTAATACGAAAAAACAATTTTTAAAATAAAAAAAATTTTCTTTCTGTGCGACTAAGGTACACTTGAAGCTGGTAAAATCGCTAGTCATTGGTGAATTAAAACTGTTATGGTTTTACTCGTATTTATATCAATTGCCTTATAAAAAGTAATTTATTTTGTAAAAAAGTCCGCTTAGGTGTAATCCATATCGTTTTTTTTCTCCATAATATTAATTTATTAAAAATAAAATGTACGAGGTGTGTTCAAAAAGTAAGGTGACTTTGTATTTTTAAGAAAAAATATTTATTTATTTATCAATATTTATGTTGTCTCCTTCAAAGTAATCCCCCTCAGATACAATACACTTATGCCAACGGTTTTTCCAATCCTCAAAGCACTTCTCATAAGCACTTTTCGGTATAGCCTTGAGCTCTTCCAGCGATGCAGTCTTTATCTCTTCAATCGTTGCAAATCTCCGTCCTTTCATAGGTCTCTTTAGTTTTGGGAACAAGAAAAAGTCACATGGGGCCAAATCCGGTGAATATGGTGGCTGAGGCATGATTGTGGTGTTATTTTTGGCCAAAAAATCTCTCACAAGCAAAGATGAGTGAGCAGGGGCATTATCGTGATGCAAAAGCCATGAATTGTTTTTCCACAATTCTGGGCGTTTTCTTCGTATTTCGCAAACGGCGCATAACTTCAAGATAATACTGTTTATTGACCGTACGTCCATATGGTAAGAACTCCTGATGCACCACACCATGGTAATCGACTTTTTATCGAACTTGGCGTGCTTTTTTCGGTCTTGGCTCATCTGGGCTCTTCCATTGGGACGATTGGACTTTCGTTTCGATATCATAACCATATACCCATGATTCATCACCAGTTATGACCCTTTTGAGTAAATCAGGGTCGTCGTTGACGTCATTCAACAGTTCTTGAGCGATGCTCATGCGACGGTTCTTTTGGTCAAAATTTAGCAATTTCGGAACAAACTTCGCTGACACACGTCTCATGCCCCAAACGTTAGAAAAAATTTCATGGCACGAGCCAAGCGATATACCAACATCCTCAGCAACTTCTCTGATAGTGATTCGACGATTTTCCAGATGTGGCAGAGTCGAAGGGAAGGGCACGTGGAAGAAAGAGAGAGACAAACAGGGTGAGCAATCTCACCGATTGCCTTACCCATCACATGTTGAATCGATTTTACGCTTTACATTTTTCACGTGCGTAAACGTCTGCACGTGGTATTTGTTCCTACATACTAACGATATTATGATGTTTGAAAAAAAAATGTAATAAACAAGTCGAAACAACCTAAAGATACAAAACCTGACACGTAATTAGAATACCATAAATTTCATTTCTTTTTAGGCTCTGAGCTGGCGAGAAATTGCCTGGCTTAAGCCTAAAGAAAAAATTGGTAAATAACACATATTCACATACCAGAAAACATCATATAACATAAGCAAAATAATAAAATTCTAATTTTCTAAGTGAAGGGAAACTGACACGGAAAATGTGTTCGCGCCAAGTGTCAAAACAATTCAATGACGTACGCACGGTCACCCAATTCCTTAACCAAGAAAAGGTCATAACAAAGACAATAACAAAGACGTCCGAAATACTAAAAATAAAATTCCTTCGCGAACGTTCGTCACGCGCTATTTTTGTCGTTAGCACACAAAGAAATTCTTTTCTTTAAACAAATAATTCGCAAACTTTGTTAATCTGATCATCCTTCTTCTTCCTTCTTCGATTACTGTTCCCCACAATGGATGCCACATATAACAAAGAGGCGCGTGTTCGTGCTTTTGCCACCGATTCTTTAAAGGGGATATTTTATTCTTCATGCGCCGCACGTCTGCCTAGACTTGTATAGTGTGTGCGATCTTTCTGTCTCTCTCGCTCTCGCTCTCTCTCTCTCTCTCTCTCTCTGTCGCTCCGCTGTTGATTCCATTCTGGTCTTTCCGCTCCTCAGCTATTATCGACTCTAAAACAAAAGGTTTTAGACTCATTTTCTTATATGTGCCCAACACTGGCCAGTGTGCCTTGTCGAGAAAAGAGGGGTGAGGGAAAGAGACAGACGAAGAGTAGGCATACTGCTTATTCTCGTTACATATCTAATCATGTTAGTACTGCGGCATTGAAAATATCATTTAAAATATTTTGTATATTACTTTAAATGGTTAATAATTATTTTTTTACAGGTTTCTAAAAAACAGATGAATAGATTTGAACGTCACATGAAAAATTTTATTGATGGAAAAAGGATGAGGTCGGCTCGTAGAGCAGTAGATATATCTATAGAAGGAAGAAAAATGTCACTGTAATATATCTAATTCCATACATTTCTGTCTTCTAATAAACATAATATTTGATGAAAAATATTACATGGTTTAAAGAAACAAAAGTTTGTTTCTAATTTTCTTAACCTATTATGAGCTACGCAAAGATTGAATGAGATGAAATCGGACTAATTATACCACTTTTAATATAACATGAAAATAATACACCCGTCTGTTCACTAATATAATATATTATTGTATAAGTTATGCAATAAACCAAAGTTCTGAACTCCCGATGTAGTTGCGAATATATCGTGAGATGAAAAGATATCCGGGAAAAGGTTCTGTTATGTAAGCAAACAGCTTTATTGCTTTGCCGTGGGAACACTGATCTTGAATTAGGTATAGAAAAATATTAAATTTTTTGGAAGAGGACTCATCCGTTCAGTTGGTCTCTAGCTTGGTTCTAGCCACAATGATGGACTTGAGGAAGTATTCTGTTTTCTCTCGTTTAACGACAAGTATTTTCGCATGCTTAGTGGAGAGACCAACTACAAGCAAATAGGAACGCTAGAAACCAAGAGCACAGCCAAGCCCAAGCTCCTCGCTCTTATATATCCAATCTCTAGTAGGCGTGTCCTAATATTCTAATGTGCGTGAGCGGATTAATAGGCGTGTTAATACGAGGTGTGATCAAAAAGTAAGGTGAATTTTGAAATTTAGCGGGCTACGTCCGTTCGATCTTCGACTTTTTTATTTGGTTATGTCGGTACACTCGTCTAGAACATACGTTCCAAATTTCAGCTTTGTAGTATGTTTAGTTTGTTTGTGAGAGGCATCAAGGTTAGAAGTGTTTTGCGTGCTCCACAATTTGCTGCTGTCTAAAAACATGGATCAAAGAGTTTGCATTAAATTTTGTGTGAAAAATGGAATCAAATGTTCCAAAACACTTGAAATGCTGAAAGTGGCATACGGTGAGTCTACTTTAAGCCAAAAAAATGTTTACAAGTGGTATAAACTCTTCCAAGAAGGCCGAGAAGACACCGACGACGAACCTCGTTCTGGACGCCCCAGCACATCAACAACTAATGAGAATGTTGAAGAAGTGAAGAAAATAGTGTTGGGAAATCGTCGAATTACCATTAGAGAAATTGCTGATGATATTGGCATCTCATTTGGTTCGTGCCAATCAATTTTGACGAGTGTTTTAGACATGAGACGTGTGTCAGCGAAGTTTGTTCCGAAATTGCTCAATTTCGACCAAAAGAAACGTCGCATGAGCATCGCCCAAGAGCTACTGAATGACGTCAACGATGATCCAGATTTACTCATCAGGGTTATAACAGGTGACGAAACATGGGTATACGGTTATGACGTCGAGACTAAGACTCAATCGTCCCAGTGGAGGCATTCTGGATCACCAAGACCAAAAAAAGCACGCCAAGTTCGATCAAATGTAAAGGTTTTGCTTACAGTTTTCTTTGACTGCAGGGGCGTGGTACAGCATGAGTTCTTGCTACAGGGTAGAACAGTAAATAAGGAATATTGCCTGCAAGTTATGCGCAATTTGCGCGAAGCAATCTGCCAGAAACGTCCGAATTTGTGGAAAAATAAAAATTGGCTTTTGCACCATGATAACGCCCCTGCTCACACATCGTTGCTTGTGCGCGAATTTTTGGCTAAAACCAACACAGTAACGATGCCACAGGCACCGTATTCCCCAGATCTGGCCCCCTGTGACTTCTTCTTGTTCCCAAAACTGAAGAGGCCTATGAAAGGTCGGCGGTTTGCCACGATTGAGGAGATAAAGACGGCATCGAAGGATGAACTAAACAAGATCACAAAAAATGATTTTTTGAAATGCTTTGAGGATTGGAAAAAGCGTTGGCACAAGTGCATTATATCCGAGGGGGATTACTTTGAAGGAGATAAAATAAAAATTGATGAATAAATAAATATTTTTTGAGAAAAATAAAAATTCATCTTACTTTTTGATCACACCTCGTATATCAGTTATATCCTTCGTGGTGTCTTTGACTCATTAATTACTTGTTTACCATTTATAAGTTTGCGCTCGGTCTTTGTATGTATTACAATTGTTTATGAGAAATTATAAAAAATTACGTGTATTGCTTTTTTTAAAAAACCAACTGCACTAATTAATTTTAGGAGAAAATTATGAAGAAACCCTAAAATATAAATTTTTTATTATAATTTGATGTCACTCCAAAAAGGTTCTAAATAACAAATTTTCTATAAATAATGATGTGGATTTCTCAAATAATTCTAAGTAAATAAATTAAGAAAATTCTGACATAAGTTATCTGTATAATTCATCTCGTCGATTCATTTGATGTACTCATGTGTCTAAATGACAAATTACATTTTTTTTAATAATTTTATATGGAAAATGGAAATAATGAAAGAAAAAGTACGAATAATCTACTATACTATAAAAAATGGCCAAATAAACAAATAGGTATCTCTCAGTACATTATGAAGAAGTAAATGCCAAGGATTCGAAAACCAGTAAATTTCGGAATTCGAATTATTAATTCATATCTTGAGTATTTCAGAGCTCAGGGACATTGAGTTTAGACTATTTTCCCTATTTCCCTGGTTCAATTATCCTATTAGGCCAATCAATGAAGCCAAAAATGAGGTATTTTGTGACATTAATACTAACAGCAAACCGACTATGCAAAGTTGTTTATTACTATGCGTAGATGAAAACGTATATGTTTTCAACTCGCAACTTTCATTTAATAACTTTTTATAGCCGTTTGAAATTTGCAAAAACATGTTTTTCACGTATAAAACCAAAACTATTGAAGTTAAATATGTACCTCAATGGAATAAGTTATAGATAATAGAATTATCTATAAAATGAGCTATCGCTCATCTCAATCGGGTAATTAATAATCAATAGAATTGCAAAAAACATCAAAATTGATCAAAAAAAGTAACATTTCAAAAATTCATATCTCCACATAGAGTGATGTTGAAAGAATTAGCTTATAATATTATATAGGTTGCATTGTCTACTTCATGTATACTAAATCTGAGCTATATATAATTATTACTTTCGGCACTACAGTAATGACAATTAAACCTTTTTTTTTTTAGAAAATCTTGCATAATGCCCTGTGGCTCAGCCGTTAGTGTTATACATTATTGAACAAAGTTTTTTAAAAAGCTCAATAACACAGGCCAAAAAGGTATCAGAACCAGAGACCAAACATAGTACACCCGAAGAATTTTGGTGCGCTGAATCCAAATCCGAGCTCAGAATTGCGGCAGCACGTCAGGATTTTGAGATATCCTAACCTAAATGTGCGAAAATCACGTTTTTTGGCTATATTCGGTACCTTATAACATTGTGAATAAATTTTTTCATGCAAAACTGACAACGGCATCTGAAAGAGTAACTCTTGGTCTACAAAATGCACTACCGATTTTTGTTTTTATGTCTTTTGGTAATGTACGAAGTGTGTTCAAAAAGTAACGAGAATTTTTAAATTTCGCGGGTTTGGAGAGTTCGCTTGTATAAAATTTTTTTTTATTATGTTGGTACACATGCCCCTGAAATACGATAAAATTTTCAGCAATATTCATTGCTTACTTTTTAAGTGGCAGCCGCTAACGTTAGACGTGTTTTTCGAGCTCGGCGATTTTCGTTTGTAAAAAAAATGGATCAAAGAATTTGTATTAAATTTTGCGTAAAAAATGAAATAAAGTGTAGTAAAGTTTGTCAAATGTTAACAAAGGCATATAGTGAGTCTGCTATGAGTAAAGCAAGGATTTATGAATGGTATAAGCGTTTCCAAGATGGCCACGAAAACGTTGAAGATGACGAACGACCCGGACGCCCAAGCACATCAACAACCGATGAAAACGTGAAAAAAGTGAAAGAAATGGTTATGAACGATCGCCGAATCACAATCAGAGAAGTCGCTGATGATGTTGGCATATCAGTTGGCTCATGCCATCAAATTTTTTCGAATGTTTTGGGTATGAAACGTGTGGCAGCAAAATTCGTTCCAAAATTGTTGAATTTCGAACAAAAACAGCGGCGAATGGAAGTTGCTCAGAAGTCGCTAAATGAAGTCAATAACGATGCAGAACTACTAAAACGTGTTATAACAGGTGACGAAACATGGGTTTACGGATATGATGTCGAAACTAAGGCTCAATCGTCCCAGTGGAGGCATTCTGGATCGCCAAGACCGAAAAAGGCTCGACAAGTGCGGTCGAATGTGAAGGTTATGCTCACTGTGTTCTTCGATTTTAATGGCATAGTGCATTATGAATTCTTGCCACAAGGTCAAACAATCAATAAGCAGTACTACCTACAAGTTCAACGTCGTTTGCGTGAAGCAATCCGAAAAAAACGCCCGGATTTGTGGCAAAACAATTCATGGCTTTTGCACCACGATAATGCGCCTGCTCACACTTCATTGCTTGTTCGTGAATTTTTGGCCAAAAACGAAACTGTAACGATACCTCAGCCTCCATATTCGCCAGATATGGCTCCATGAGACTTTTTTCTATTTCCAAAAATAAAGAGAACATTAAAATGCCGTCGTTTTACAAGCATAGATGACATTAAAAGCGAATCGCTGAAAGAGCTAAAAGCTATTACAAAGATTGAGTTTCAAAAGTGTTTCGAGGATTGGAAAAAGCGTTGGCATAAGTGTATTGTATCCGAAGGGGACTACTTTGAAGGCGACAACATTAATGTAGATGAATAAATAAATATTTTTTTCATAAAACGAAAATTCTCGTTATTTTTTGAACACACCTCGTAGATATCGTCGTTTGAAATTTAACAGCTATGAATTTGTTTATACTGTGCCACTACAGAACGAGTGACCAGACATAGTACACCTGAAGGATTTTAGTGTGCTGAATCCAAATCCGAGCTCAGAATTGCGCCAGCACATCAGGATTTTGAGATATCCTAACCTAAAAGTGCGAAAATCACGTTTTTTTGGCTATATTCGGTACCTTATAACATTGTGAATAAATTTTTTCATGCAAAACTGACAACGGCATCTGAAAGAGCAAATCTTGGCCGACAAAATGCATTACGGATTTTTTTATGTCTTTTTCCAGCAGAGATACCGTCAATTGAAATGTGCCATTCATCAATTGATTTATACTGGAGTATGAAAATCTTGATTTTTTTTGCAATCTTCAGTAGTAGGAAAAACTTACACTGGCATATAAAGGT